GCCTTGTTCGCTCTTTCTTTCTTGACGTAAAATTACCTGCTACATAATCACTCCGAGCAAAGCTCACCAGCCTCCCTCGCCTGCCTCCGGCCCCTCTCCGGGAAGCCGCCCCCGCTCCGGGCCCGCGCCTGGCACCGCCGCCGCCCGGGCTCGGACGGCACGAAAACCGCGCATCTCTGCTGTTCCTGAGCCGCCCGGGGTTTGCACCCTTGTCCATTTCCCGTTCGCAGTAGGTCTCCTGCATGGAGAACACCACCACAAGGAATTCCTATTCGGATGAACTGCCTGTTTCTGTTCAACACTCAGGGGGCTGAGAGATCCCTCCCTCCTTTAATTCAGTCACTTGTTTAAAAATAAAATTAGGAGCCATCTTTATAATTTAGTTTACTTCCGAATATTTTAAATATTATGAAAAAAAAAGCCATAAACAACGCTGTTATTCAAAACATTTTGAGGTATAAAACATAAAAAGATTTGGATTTTCTTTTTTTCCTTTTTCTTTTTTTTTTTCTTTTGTTTTGTAAAAAACACACACAGTGGTTTATTGAGTACTTACAACGTTTACACCTTCAATATTAATTAGATTCCACTTTTTCCCTTACGGACGGAAGTGCACATAACCAGTAACTGTTGAAAACATCTTCAAATACCGAACGACCACAACAAAATTACAACACTAAATACCGAGTCAATCGAAACATTGGTGCAACTGCTTCTGTTGAAATATAGCTTTATAATCCCATGAATATTTATATCCAAAAGGCCAAGTATTAAAGATACACTTCACATACACACTAATGCCAGGGAGGGATTTTTTTTTTCCTTTTCTATGATTCTGTTTTCCCCACGTGTTTTATACAGAGCAAATAACATTCACAAAACATTTAGAGACATTACCCCTTACCAAGCTGGAGTTTCCTCTTCATATATGGAATGCTTTTTCCCTCTCCTTCAAATATCCACATTTTGGGGGGTTGGGGGAGAAATTGCACATAAATAAACTGGATGATTCCAAATACAAAGAGTCCTCAGAGGAGAGCTCACTACCGAGACTAAGAGGACGGCTCCTCCAGTCCTGCCGTGCTCACTGCTTGAGCTCCAAAGCCCAGACATGCTGCGGCCAGCCAGTCCTCCCTTTGGTTTTCTTATCGTTGCTGCTAACTGTGCTTTTCAAGATTTCGTTCTGGGGAGACAGGATGCGAGGGGAGAGACAGAAACAGAAGGGGGAGAGGAGAGAAAAAAAAGGTTAGATATATTCCTCCCCTTTCTAGGTCTCATCTGCTCTGCTTCGAGATCGAAAACTACGAGGACACCCGAACACATCGAGGCCTGCGGGCTTCAAGAGACATAACGGGGACCCCCACGGGATCTCGCCGCGGGCGAAGCCGCCGCCCGTGGGAGCGGCCTCGCGCGGTGCGCGCCCGCCCGCGGAGCCCTGCGGAGGCCGGCTCCCTCTCCGTGCCACCCCGCTGCTCTGTGGCGGCCGGAGCGCGGGGCTGCAGGCTCAGAGGCGCCAGCTATCCACGGGGATTACGATAAGGCCCCCCCTAAACCATCCCCTCCCTGATTGCGGAGAGAAGCTGGGCACTGGCACGTTCACCGGGCAAAACATGGGACTTGCGGCCGCTGACTTATGCGGGAATCAATCACACGCGAGCACGCCATGGGGCCTACACGAAATTTGGCTTGCGCTGCCTCGCCTTAACCAACTCTCCCGTTAAAAATCAAAAAAGTTGAAGCGCCGAGTGCAGGGGCAGGAGAGCCTCTCGCTGAGAACCTCGCACTTGCCGAGGGTTTAAAGCTGGGCTGGGTTTAGCAGGTAATCATGCCTTCAGATTTTCATTTAAGAGAGCAGAGGCTTGCCTCCTGCGAGATCACGGTTTGGGATACGGGACAAGCAGCAGCCCGGGAATATCCTCCCCGGGGGCCCTAATGTGTGGCAATCTTTTCCCCGAGGCTGCTCTTATCCGCCGGGTCGGATCCGGACGCCGACGGCGGCTCGCAGCCGCGCACGGTCCCGCTTTTGGCCCGCAGCTACGGCCAGGGACCGGTGGGACCGAGGCGTCCCCCACGGACGTGCCCCGGCGACTCTGCCCAGCGAGGAGCCGGGCGCGCTCGGATGGGGCCCCGGCGGGCGACCGAGCAGCCTCCCCTCCGCGGCTCCCCCGCCCCGTCCCGCCCCGTCCCGTTCCGAAGCACTGACCAGCTCTTTCTTCCTCTTCTCTTCCTTCACGTCTGTCTTCTTGATCTCTGCCTTGAAAGCCTCCGCCTCCCCGTTCTGGTCGTCCTTCGCCAGCAGGTCCATGAGGTAGGCGATGTAGCTGGTAGCCAGACGGAGAGTTTTGATCTTGGAGAGCTTGGTGTCGGCGGGCACGTTGGGGATGCACTCCCTCAGCTCCGCGAAGGCGCTGTTGATGCTCTGAGTCCTGCGCCGCTCCTTGCGGTTCGCCGTGCCCCTGCGTTTCACCGGCCGGGGCCCCCCGAGCCCCGGCGGGCCGTTCCCGGGCGGCACCCCCCCGTAATGGGAGTGGTCCATGCCCGGCGCCCCGTTGGCGTACTCAGGGCTGTAGGACAGAGCCATGCTGTAGTCGGGGGGGGACATCTCCGGGTGGCTGCTGATGAGCCAGCCGTGGAAGTAGGGGTTCTCCTCGTGGCCACAGCGGGTGGCGGCGGCGGCAGCGGCAGCGGCGGCGGCAGCGAAAGGGTAGCCCTCATGGTGCACCACCGGGTGGTGGGGGAAGCCGCCCACAAGACTCATCCCCGCTCCCTAGAGCACCCCACCCCCCCCCCCCGGGCCCCAAAACAAAGGTTTCCCCTCCCCCCCCGCCCCCCCCCCCCGTCGCAGCGGCGGGAGATGCCGCCCGCCGCTCACCCCTCAGCACTGCCCCGCTGCCCGCTGCCTCTCCATAGGGCGCTGCTGCAAAGTCCCCGCGGGTGCCCGAGCGATCCCCCCTCCCCGGGCGCCGCCGCCGCCGCTCATGCGTTGTGCCTCCACCTCCTCCTCCTCCTCGCCCGGGGCCGGGTCTTCGAGGAAGCGCGCACAGAAAAAAAAAAAAAAAAAAAAAAAATGCTGTGGAGAGATGTCGACCAAAACAAAATGGCTTGGCTTGGCTTTCCAGCCTGGGATCTTCCTCGCCTCTTGCTTCCCTCCGCTCTCGCCAAGTCCGCCGCGGCCCGGCCGGGTGGTACTTACACGCGGCCCCCCTCCATGCGCCCCCGGCTCGGGGCGGGCGGCGCTGGCTCTGCCCTGCGCGGCGGCGGGGCCGTCAGTGCTGGGCGGGCGCTCGCATCTCTGCCCGCCGCGCCGCGAGCCTCAGCGCCCCGGCTCTCCTCTGCGGCATCCGCGCCGCTCGGCCGGGCGCGGCGGCGGCGGGCGGCGGCGGGGCTCGGCGCGGGGCACTGGCAGGGCTCCCCGGCCCGATCTCCATGTACAGCTACATGTTTAGGGCCGCTCGGGTTAATATATGTCGTCAGAAGCGGCGGCCGCCAATGGCCGGGGCGGGGGCGGAGCCCGCCGCCCTCCGCAATAAAACTTTTTGATGTTCGCTCTGCTAATTGCCGAGCTCCTCTTTTAGGATTGGCTGCCCCTCCGCATCCCTAACGTAATTAAAACAAGGGGGGAAAAATTATCATGGAGGCAGAGGTTAATGCAAGTGTTTAGCAGATGCCTTACAGTAAAACCTGCGTTAAAAAAAAAAAAATTGAAAAAACCCCCAAACAACAAAAAAAACCCTACAAACTCATTAAAACTTAAATATCGGATAATCTCAAACCAGGTACAGTACGGATCCAAGAAGTTTCTTGGCAAAAGTCTGTGTGAGAACTAGATAGGCTCTGAGGTTGCTCTGGCAAAGTGCTTTGTGCCGGTCCGGTAGAGGAACAAATAAATCCGGCTTGGAAGGGCACTTCATCGATGCCCGACTCCGACAGGCATGCCCCAGCAGCGCTGCGGCTTATACCCGTATTGCTGGTTAGTATACACCACGGGATCACTAGTTTCCGTGAGGAGGGAGGCGAAGCTGCTCTGCCTTGCCTGACACCCGGCTTGCGACCCGGGTTAGCATGGGCTGGCTCCGGCAGCGCTCCTGCTGACTGGCCGAGGAAGAGGAGCGCTCGGGGCTTGCATGGGAATGGTTTTGAAAGAATTGTTTTGAGACATTAACAATAAGCCCGACTCTGACTGTTTCTTTTCCAGCTTACTGCCTGCGCCTATGCACCTCCACCAGCGTTCACCCGAGTGACTCAGGCGCCTGAAATCGGTTTCATGCTTCTTGAACTGGTATGATCGGTAAGTAACCGAATATTTTTTATAGCATGTTCAGAGCTAATTTTCTAGCTTTTACTAACAAACATATAAATATTTCTCAGCATTCCCTCTTTTGCAGTATAAAAGACCGGCATCTGCGAAAAGCAGGTTTAGTTATCAAAAGGGAGTAGTTAAATGTTTACTTAACGGCCAGGCTAAGGAGGAAATCTCCTGTAGTTATTTAGGTGTTTTGCTTTAGTAAGCTTGAAGATATTACGAAAGAAAAATGCATCTCAAGCTGTAACTCATGGAAAACTCCGAGGCGAGGTGCATTTGTTGTCATCCTCAAATGGAGCCGAGCATTATTAAATAGCTGCGAAATACCAAATACCCACCCTTATTTGTGCTGGCTGACGCCTAGGCTGATTCGGCGTATATTGCAACGCAGTTCTACAATATAGGCAGTGTGGAAAACTGTGTCAACAGGAGCTGAGAGGTCGTAAATTAAAGAAAGGGAAAGATAGAGATGGAGGAGTCTGCGAAAGAAGGCAGAAAGAACTGTGGTCCAATTTCTGCAGCAGCTTAATGCGCTCTCCTGTACAGAGGCGGTGGGGGTACCTCGGGGGAAGCGCTGGGTGGTGGGAAGAGGGCGAAAATCAACTGAATGCCCGGGGAAAGGGGACAGGCAGAGCTCGGGCGGTCCCGGCTTGGAGAAGGCTGCCGACGGTACACGGCGGCTTGTTGGGACCCGGGGGCTTTGCGAGTGGGTCTGCCGGCTGTCGGCGGGGAATGCCCTGCAGGGAGTGGACGGTCCCCGCGAATGAGGCCGTCCGCCAAGGAGCAGCCTGCCGCGGTACCCGGGAGCTGCCTTCGTCGGGGAAATGCTGAAGGGGAAGAAGTGTGCCGGACTCGCGGTTCGGCAGGACGGGGTGTGTAGAGTAGGACCTAGAGGGGAGACGTGCACGGAGCACAGACATGCAGGCGTAGGTTTTTATAAGCATCTACACATATGCGTGAGCGTCTGGGTGTAAACTGAGTACGAAAGTGAAAAACTAGTCCAGATGTAGAATAGATGTATATACACATATATCTTATACGTATACACACATGCCTCTAAGCAGCTGATGGATATCTGTATCTATATATGCACAAGCACACGTGTATATATGGTGTTATCCCAATGAAAGAATGTGTCTGCAGTGTGGATTTTTAAATGTAAGGAAGGCCGCTGGCAGACCGTGCAGGCAGAGCCCCGGAGCGGCCGGACCGCGTGCCCCCGCCGCTCGGGATGAGATGTCTGCAGGGCGCAGCCTGGAAATCCACCCAGTTTCTGCAGCAGTTCTCCAGCTTTGTTTTGCTGCGTATATTCTTGATGGGAAGAAGTGGACATTGTCAGGGCCGGAAAGTTATATTGGCTTGCAAACGGGCGTGTGTGTCTTTACACTGTCCCTGTTTGTGTACGAGCTTTCCGATGCACTGCAGGTTAGACTGCAACTGTGACAGTCTCTGTGACAAGACACTACGGCCTTTCCGATAACATCTCCAATGATGAAGGAAACGGAAAACATGAGACAGAGAAAAAGTAATAAAACGTACAGGAGATATCGATCAGAACACCAGTCTCCAAAGCTAACATCATGACTGCTTAACTAACTTTGGCGAAAGAGGATCTCTAGATAAAGCATCCAGAAGGATCTTTTGCATATATATGTATATATATATAATCTCCTCTTATCCCAGCAGTTATTTATGAGTTTTATAAAGCGAGTTTTAGAGCAAATGTAACTCTCTTTTCCTCCCTCAGCTTATAAATACTCAGGATTTCTGATAATGGGTTGTAGCCTTTTCTGTTTGCTCCACGCGTTGCAAAACGGTGCAGCTCAAGGTACCTTTCCCAATACTATGCTCAAAGACAGCTAAAAAGCGCCAGCATTTTTCCCATCTTACACTTATTAATTTGATTACAATTTTTTTTGTGCACAAATCATATGGTGAAAAAAAAAACCAATAAAAAAAAAAAACAGAAAAGGAAAAGAAACTCTAGTTTATGTCATTTTCTTTCCCTGCCAAAATAGTTTCATGTCAGGCAGCGATTTATCTGGACTCTGCTGCCAAGCAAGACTCTCCTAGATTGCTATAATAAAGGAATTTTGGTGGAGTCTGTGCCGAGGCTGTTTTTCTCTTCCTCTACCCGCTTTTAGAAATTTATTTTATTTTATATTTTTCGGGAGTCGGTGTGTGGGGCTGTATCAGTAGGTTTTGCCCTGCCGTCGCTGCCTCTCCAGTCCCTCGGCGGGGCCGAGCGGGAGGAAGGGGCTGCCTTTGCCCCGCGGTGGGTGCCCGAGGCTCCGGGGGAGCGGAGCCCGCGGCGGGGGGCGCCGGGCCGGGCGCCCGCTCAGCGCCGCCGGGGCCACCCGCTGCCCGGCCCCGGCGCTCAGTCGCCGCCGGGCCGCTTATCGCCAGGTCACTTCTCTCCTCCGGGCCAAGAGTAGGGTGGGAGTTGGGATAACAGAACAACAGAGCTGTGCTCCCCCCTCCTCCCCCCCGGGCTTGTGTGAATTAAGTTAAATTGCAAATTAAGCTAATTTCTCCGAATCGGTCGGGGAAAACGGTATGGAAACGGGGAAGAGGTGCCGACACTGGGTGGTCGGAAACCCACATCTGCTGGGGACTCCCGGGCTGGCTGACTGGGAACACTGCGGCCACACCGGGCCAGACCCTGTGAGGGCAGGCCAGGGGCAGAGAGGCGCCTCACCGGTGCCTGGGCAGCGAGCCCGCTCGTTTGCTTCTTTACCGCACCTTTCTTTTGCGGAGCGCCCGAAATCGGTGGGACGATTATGGCGACAGGGCAGCGGCGGGAGCCTCAGTCACCGCTGAGGTGCCCGGTACCGATGCCAGACGTATCCATCCCTGCTCTGTGCAGCAGCATCGGGATCTCCCTCCATAATTTTCATTAAAGCAAAGAAATAATCAGACACACGAAAGCGCCCCAAGGGCACCCCATCTTTTGCTTTTGAGGCGCTGCCCTGGCCGAGAAACCCCCTCGGCGTCTCTCCCTAAGTACCGGGGTGCCGATTCCGTCTCCTTTCTCCCGGCTGCCCACCGCATCCCTCAACAGTCCGGTGCACGGCTTGAAGAGCCCAGACGGGTTTGAATTTATAGAGTGCATGATGCCATTGACCCTTGGACCAAACGTATCAGACAGGGGGATCGTTCTCGGATAGACTTGGGGATGCTGGAGCATCCCGCGTCCCAGGGATGAGACGCATCCTATATCTTGGGCGTCGCTTAGGAGTTTGTGAAAGGACATAAACACGCAAGAAAAGGGATTTTTGAAAAGAGAGAAATATGATTTGAAGGTCAACCTGTCAGTGCGGGTTAATGAAAAGGACTTGTGCCTAATGGGACCGGCTTGCACCCTCTCTTGTGCTCACACAACCTGTATTTCAACGCCCAGGGCAGAGGGCGGGATCGGGCCCAGCAGGCCCGAATTAGTCTCTGCCCTTAGAGGTGGAGGAACCCTGGTTTACGTTACTATTATCGGTAATGAACGCCCACATATTTCAAGCATGAAAATCTCGCAGTCGTTGTGTATACAAAAAGAAAAAAAAAAAGGAAAAAAAAAGAGAAAAAAGAAAAAAAAAAGAAAAAAATATCAGGGATGAGAAAAACCCAAGACACTGACCATTTCGTAAGTCACAATGATTGGCAGTAAACGCTGGACCCTACGCGTTTTACCACTGCATGTGCAAGCAATTATTCGAGGATTGCTTATATTTGTGACTGAGCATCCAGCGTTGCATTTAGACCCTGGACAAGAATCAGGGAAAGAAAATTCCAACCAAGAGCCCCACTTCGTCAGAAAAATAGTAATAAAGAGCTTACAAAATTCTGCAGTGAACACCGTGTGTCTTTATTTACTGGAATTGTTATTTGCATCTCCTATACATGCATGCATGTATAAACACGCACACGCATACAGACAAACACTCTGTTTTCCTAAGTAATATTTGTTTGTATTCCCGGGAAAGAACATCTTCAGTTGCTCTTGAGCTCGACTCTGATGAAATAGTTTGCGAATGTAATTACCTTCATTAACGAATATTTTGTTGTCCAGCATCTGAAATTCAGACGGTGAAGGCAGAAGAAAGCTGGGCTGGCATCGTTTTGTGTTTAGATTAACAAAAACCAACATTTCTATTGTCATTCTTCATGGAAAGTCTCCATTTAACGAGGCTGGGGCTTAAGAAACCTTCATAGATCAAAGGTAACCTCTCTTGGCTTAAGAGAAAAATCCCTCTGGAGCAGTGAAAATTAGCTGCAATTTGGCCCTAACTACACGTCCCAAAATGTCGGTGTCGTCCTGCCGGTGTCCCCCGGCCCGTACCTGCTGCGCTGCACCCCGCTCCCGCCTGCCCGGGATGGGCTGCGGCACACGGGCTCTTCCGAAAATGCAGCTGCTCAGTCCTACAAATGTCGGCTGCACACTTGTTGCAAGCATCAGCCCGCACGGCAATTCCTATGTGCGTATCTCGGTGTAATTGATCTGGCTGAGTGAGGTCTTTTTGGTAATTTGGATACACCAAGTCTCCAGTTAATGACATATAATCAGCCTTTAGGTCACTTGGTCATTCTCTTATTACAAACCCCTCCTGCTCTCTCTGATCTCCTTTCAAACTAAATTTCACACAAACAAATAAAGCAAGACAGGGACAAGTCCTTAAAATGCAAGAGTGAAATATTGGAGAATTGCTCGTGGGGAACTATAAACATTTTTAAAAAGAAAAAAGCGAAAAGATAGGACAGAACATCTTATCGAGAAAGAGAGCATTGTGTACAAAACACGGAGGGAAAACCGGTCTGGCTTGTGTTAAAAGTGACATAAAATTAAAATAAAATAATTACAAACAGAAATGGCATAATGTAAACAGAATACAGGATATTTTACTAGAAACGCACGGCCGCTTACCGTAATTTGTTCGTACAGATGATACAAACTATCTGTGGATACACAAAATGTTTATTTGCTGCACTTTAAATGGAAAAAATTTCTTTACTCTTCTTTTCAGGAAAGTTAAGAAGACGGAAAATGGAGAAGTGTACCTCCCTAGACCTGGAGGGAAATGGAGCGGCGGCCAAAAGGAGTGGGTGTAAATGCGACAACAAAAATAAATACTTTATATCACCCTGCAGAACTTATTTTACTAAGTCAACATTTTGTTTTTCTGCTGCTCACCTTTTCTTTCCTCTAGGGAGAGACAATGCTCACTTTTTATTAGGTATTCCCTAAAAGTTTGTTTTGATCCCCGCCCAGGTGTGTGTATATGTACATATATATATATATATATATATACAATCAACAGGCTGAGGTTCATGTTTGAGCAGAGGCGACCGGGAAGAGGGGCGATCAGATGCTCTTAGGTAAGATCCCACGGCCCTACAGGCTGCAGGCAACTCATTGCAAAGCCCCCGTTGTTCGGAGGTGATTTATAAAATCGAGAACGGGGAGATATCAATGTCGTTCAAGTGTGAGCACTCTGAAAAATCAGCCTGCAGGAGAGGACTGCGACCCACATTCCCTCACAGGCATTAGCGCCTTTCAAAATATTATCGACATTTCTGCCGGAGGTCTCCTTGGTGTGTAATACGGGGCTCAGACAGGCGCTAATTGAGCACGTAGCGTGTGCGATGTTGCGAGAATGAGTGTCAGGGCAGGCTCACACAGGGGCAGAAATGGGAGCGATGGGTAGAAGGGAAGGAGCGTCACAGGCCCCCGCGCAGTGCGTGTTGGTGTGACACATCTCGTTATTACTTCAATACGTTCCCTGCCTTTTCGGGATTTCTAAGGGTCGTTTTCAAATTTTTTTTTTCCCCGCCCGCCTTTGGGCTACTGGGTTGAAGGATCAGCCCGCAGCCACACGGCGATCCGACCCAGCACATGGAAGGGCGGCGGGGGTCAGAGCCCCGACGCTGCTCTCCTCTCGGGGCGCTCGCTCGGGGACACGGGCAGCCCCTCCGGGAGCGGCCGGAGATGCTCAGCCGTGCCCCGGCAGTGCCCGGGCGGGGCCGCGGGCATCCCTCCCATCGGTGCTGGAGATGCCAGAGGCCGAGGGGGAGGCGGAGGGCTGGCCCCCTGCCCAGAGCACCTCACGGGGGAGGGCGGCCCGGGAACAGCCCAGCCGGGCTGGGGGAGGCTGGAAAGGGTTAAGCGCTTCCCCTCCTCCTGCTGTAGCCCCCTGAATGCCACTGCTTTCCTCTAGAGGTCTCATTAGGGAAACCCTAACTGCTATTTTCAACGTTTCCTCAATCAAGCGCCTTTAAATAGAGCTCCACAAACAATTTGGCGGCAAAAAGCGCAGATCTTGTCACGGGCGAGGCCGATTCAATATTTCACCCTTGTTTGCTTTGTAATTACGGCCTGGCTTGTGGCTACCTGCACGCTGGGGCGAGTTCCCCTTGCCAGCCCCCCGCCCGCCCCTCCCTTCCCGTCTCTGCCGTACAGCCCCGCAGAAGACACCTTTCCCTGGGCTGGGAATTGAGCGGGACCGCCCGCGGGGGACACTGAGTGAGCGGTCAAAGCTAAAAAATTACACGGAATCTCCCCTCCTAAATGCTGATTTTGATTTTAGTGTTTTTTTTATTTTAATTTTTTAAATTTTGTTTTTTTTTCAGCATCTGTTCTGAAGCCACGAGCTTCCCTTCAACAGAAGGGATTTTTCCCCGAGCGCCTCCTTGCCCGTCATGACGGGGTCAGGGACCAGGCAGGCGGCCCCCCTGTCCCCATGCAGGGCACTCCGGGCAGCTGGTTTGATCTGCTGCACTCGCTCCCTCTCTCTCTGCTACCCTGCTCTTATGATTTGTTATATTTTCCACAGCTGATTATTCTTGTTTGACTGCTGTACAGGGCCGCTTTAAATCTTCGTCAGGAAGAATAAAAGTTAGAACTGCTTGGACGGGTTCCTGCACACTTGCGGGCTGGTGCGGGTCCAGCTCGGTCACTTGCACAAGGAGCCCTCTGCACACACCAGGGCTCCATAAGCCTCGTTACTGCGGCTAGGGGCGGCGGCATCAACACAGATCGGAGCTAATTCCATTATGTCTGAAAGCCGGAGTGTAACAGAGAAGAATTCGGAGTTTATGAACTAAGCTGCTGTATTTGCTTTGCTATAAACCGACGAGAATATTTTATGATGGAGGGGAACGGTGCAATACAAAAAGGAAATATGATAATAAATCTCTTTTTATGGATTCTCTTTAGCAGCAAAACACAAGGATCCAACGGTTTTATGACTCAACTATTTTGCAGGTACATCTAAAGATACCTACATAGAAAAGAATAACCCATATTCCCTCTCCCAGCCCTCCCTGGAACACAGAAATCCAGCCCTGTGCTCCTCAGTTCAATGACAAAATTCCCTGAGATTTTCATGGGAGCAATGCTGGCACAAGAGTTTACATCTGACCACTGCACGGATATGCTGTGATTATTTATGGTGTCACTGGCATTACCTTTTGATAGTTTACTGATTCACAAAACTTTTAGTCAGAAGTAATGCTCCACCTTCCATCTCAGAATGAGCACATTAGGTTGTATTCTTTCTAGTCACTTTAATACTATTAAGGTTTGAGATAATTGATGCATCCATAGAGCTGAACTACAGCTTTAGTTTTGAAGGGATTTTTTTTTTTTTTAGGAATGATTCACATGCTAAAATAAATATAGGTACCTCAGGGGGAGGATTTCCAGGTGGTAAAGAGTCTAATGTTCCTTGAAGTAAGTGCAGGTTTTGCACTTCAAGGATTTAAACCCAATGTTTTTTCAGAGTCATGTTCTGCTATAAAAAAATCCAAAAACATTCATAAATCCTCAAACTGTTTTGTAAAATGCAAACATATTTGCATCTAAGGTGCTAAGCATATTTTTTTATCTGTCTCCACGCCTTGTTTTCCCTCTTTCTTATGACCAAATCCTGATATTGCTTACCCTGAGTGCTTAGATCCAGATTAAGTCACCTAGAGAACAAGAGATAGCTGGTAGGTCCAGTGGTCTGCTGCTGGGCTGCAGTGGTTTGGAAGTGTAGATTTTGAAACACTTGCTTCATGTATCGCTTTTCCAACCTCAGCACACACACATGCAGGCAGTATGGCACTCTAAGAGACTGGTCACTTGAAACCTAACAGCTATGAAAGCAGAATGCAGATGCAGCAGATGCAGTTAAACATGTTATTTTCAAATAAGTCCTTTTAGTTGTTTATTTTTTTTTTTTTCTCACATGCAGCTAAATGAAAGTCACACTGCTTTTTTCCAGTGTGTGCAGTTTTTTTTCCTTTTATTTTTTTTTTTAATAATAAAACAGACAAGTGGATTCAGAGCCCCGATTTTATTAAGAAAGGTTGTGGAACAATCAGTTCAGATATGTCAATCCAAATAATGTGTGGAACAACATGTACAAAAGAAATCCATGGGAAAAAGATCACAAAAACTCACAAATACAAACCTCATCTGTACAAGTTGCTCTGCTTAAGCCAACTTTTCATCAGAGTGGCATCTATTTGTATGAATTGAAGTTTTGCACGTGCCTACTGTTGGTGAAAAAAGAATTGTACATAGTCAATAGCTTATCTACCATTACCAGTCTTGCCTAGGAAGGCAGACCACAGTGAAGGCTGGTTTTACTCTTCTTCACTGAGAAGAGCAGCCTGGACTGAGCTCCATTCTGTTGCACTAAAGGGCTGCAAGCACTTTTTTACAGCCACTTCAAGGACGGCTACACTAGCCTGTAGTCTGCATATGGACAGAGTAGTGAGAAAAGTGAGTACTGCACATCCATACACCTTTCTTTACCTGGAGTCCAGGGATTCTGCCCTGCATACCCTGGAGTCCACAAAAGGCTTCTCCTCACTCCATTTGTGTGCTATTCATAAAGATATGTCGTAGCTTGTAAAAACAGTACATGCCCATTTTGTGTGATATGTGCATGCACACATCTGGGCTGCATGTGTGGGAAAGTAAAGGCACACACTACAAAAAATGTTACATGTGCAATTTTCTATAATATGGCACATCTACAGTGCAGAAAATGTAATTCTTCTGCACAGGAGGACATTTTAAGTGGCTTTCAAAGGAAAAAAAATGCAGAATTGTTCTTGGTAGCACAGTTAGTAGAAGTTCATTTCTCCTGGTTGCCCCTGATGTTTTCTGCAAACTCACTATGATGGACTGTTACTCCTTAACAACAACATGCACTCAGTGATCAGAATATTTCAGATATTCATTTCTAGAGGCTGATGTTATTAAAATTAAAAACATCTGCTTTGAGGAATGCAGATTTTTTGGATGTAAATACTTCTCTACTCTCACAGTAGTTTCAGCTACTCAGGGAAACAAAATGTAATGCTAAACAGTCGCTGTACCGTTTGACACAGAAGCAAATGGAACAATGTTGCTCCTAATGTTGTTGTTGTTCAGTGGACAATTGAAATTGGATAAAGGCTTTCATCTGGGAACACTTTTCTAATACCTCTGTAGGTAACGGGAGTCCTATTGCCCTGCCTGCTGGGCGAGGTTCACCCCCATCTCTCCAGGACAGCTCCTGAAGAGAGGCGTTTGTGCCTGCAATAGGTTTTTAAGTGCTTGTCTGTTATCAGCTCACCGACACAGTTTTGCAGCTGAGGAGAGCGGAGAACGGAGCCCCAGCTGCCTGTGCTTCAGATGCTATCGCCTAATCCTGATTAAAGGCACCGTGGGTTAGAAATTCCTCTGCAAAGCCACGTGAGAGAAAACTGCTCCCTTTAAAAATCACTGGGAGTATTTGCCGTGCTTGTGTCAGCTTCTCTTACACTGAAGCTGAACCGGGCATGCTTGTTTAAGAATGAGTAATGATGTGTATTGACTACCACACAGCACACTGATTGCTGTGCTAATGACATAAGTGCAACCAATATCAAAGGTGGAGTTGCACCGAGTACTGTGGTATTTCCATGAGATATTTAGTCACTTTTGCCTGTCAGGCTGACTCTCGAGAATGAAAAACCACCAAACTGGGGGTTGTAAATGGGAAATATCGATTCTATTGACATGGGAATAAAGAAAAATGGAATATAATCTAGGGGAGGACATTTCCCTAAACTACAC